ATAATTATCCAAAAAATATCACAAAATCTCACAAAATTGCACACCAAGGAAAATCATTTGATTCTGAATTTTTTGGGAGTAATTCTCATATAGGGCAAAAATCACGTGCTTACAGTGAGTATTGTGGATACAAAGGTCATCTTAAGGAAAATTGTTTTAAAATAATTGGCTATCCAACTGATTTCATAAGTAAAAGAAAAAGTCAGACTGGAGGACGAAAGGTTTATACCAACAATGTGAATGTAAACAATGAGGAAGGCAAGTCAGCAGTTGTGCAAGTGCAAGGGAATGGACAATTCTTCATTGAAGAACAATACAAACAGCTAGTCAAGTTATTGTCAAAACCAGCAATATCAGAGTGTTCCACAAACATGACAGGTATAATTTTCTTGCTAGAAAATGCAGGTATGTGTGATTGGGTGATAGACACAGGAGCAACACATCATGTCATATATTGTAAGGACATTGAAGTGCAGTTACCTACAGGAAATAATGCACAAATAACACACACTAGAGAAGCATCTATACTAGGGAATAAGACACTCAAAAATGTTTTATATGTACCAGATTTTAAATTCAATATGTTTTCAGTATCAAAACTCACCAGAGAACTCAGTTGCTCAGTCACATTCTTTCCTGATTTATGCATGTTTCAGGATCTTTACAGTGATAGGGTGATGGAGATTGGTAGAGAAAATAATGGATTCTATCTGCTAAAGGAGAACATAACTGTAGCTGCAACAGGTTTATTTATGAACAAAGGAGCAGAAAGTGAACTCTGGCACTTGAGGTTAGCACATGCATCATTGAAGTCAATGCAACATATTTCATAGTTAAAGAATAAGGTGGATATGCAGGTGCAAGAAAATTGTCATGTTTGTCCATTAGCTAGACAATGTAGGTTAAAGTTTCCTTCAAGTAACACGAGCTCTATTAGTTCTTTTCAGCTTACTCACCTAAATATTTGGGGACCTCATAGAGTATCCACATATGATAGAAAATATTAATTTTTTTACCATTATGAATGACTACAATAGATATACCTGGGAATGCTTGATTCAATCAAAATGTGAAGTGTTAGTTGTAATAGAAAACTTTTCTGCTATGATAAGAAATCAATTTGGTATGACACTGAATGTTTTGAGGTCAGATAATGGTAGTGGGTTCTTTAATTCTCAGTGCAATGATTTATTGATATCTTTGGGAATTATACATCAGAGTAGATATCTATATACACCCCAACAAAATGGCACGATTGAAAAGAAACATAGATAAATCCTAAAAGTTGCAAGGGCACTGATGATCCAAAGTTCAGTGCCAATGAGATTATGGGGTGACTGTGTAAGAACAGTAGCATATTTGATAAACAAGATGCCTACAGAAGTGCTGCAAGGAAAGTGTCCATATAAAGTACTACATAATAAACCAGCAAATATAGAACACTTAGGGGTCATTTGGTATGAGGTATAAGAAGGTATAGGGGCGGTATAAAAATTTGATACCACCGTAATATTCTGTTTGGTTAGCAAATCAGGTATAAGTTATCCCAATGTTAATTTTAACACCGGGATAACTTATACCTTATAGAGGGTGGGATAATTAGCACCGGTATAACTTATACCTTCTTCTTAGAAATTATACAATTGTCATTCTTAATACAACATACCAAACAATGAATAAATAACAATCCCAGCATAACTAATCCCATCATAACTTATACTGGCATAAGCCGTATTCCAACCAAACGACCCCTTAAGGGTGTTTGGTTGTTTTTGTTTTACAAGTAACTTGGATGGTTGCGATAAATTTGCTCCAAGAGAAAAAAAGTTCGTCCTTATAGGATACTCATAAACACAAAAGGGTACAGGTTGTATAATTTAGATAGCAGAAGAGTGTTCATTAATAGAGATGTCTCATTCAGGGAGCAAGTATTTTCTTTCAATATAGGACGTATGCCTTTCAGTTGATGTCAGAAGTTGGTCTTGCAGGAGCTAAATCAATCTCCATCCCAATAGAGCTTAACCAAAAGTTAACCACTGTTGAATATGACAAACATGCAGGGGTAAATAGGGATGAAGAATTAGAGGACATAGGGAGCTATCAAAGACTCATTGGCAAGCTGTTATACTTGACTATCACCATACCAGATCTCAGTTTTACAGTCCAGGTACTCAGTCAGTTCATGCAGCATCCCAAACAATCTCATTGGAATGCAGTATTGCAAGTAGTGAGATATGTAAAGGCAGCACCAGGCCTTGGTATTTTGCTGGGTACAGGGCCTATAGATACATTATCTACTTATTATGATTCAAACCGGGCTTCATGTCCTAATACCAGGAGGTCTATCACAGGGTATGTCATCAAACTGGAAGACTCTTTGCTTTCATGGAAGTCAAAAAAGCAACAAACTGTCAGTCAAAGCTCAACTAAAGCTGAGTACAGGAGTTTAGCAGCAGCAGCTACAGAAATCACATGGTTCTTAGGATTGCTTAAGAAACTGCAGGTCGATATTTAGCAGCCAGTGTCTTTACACTATGATAGTAAGGCAGCCCCACAAATAGCTGCTAATCCTATATTCCGTGAACATACTAAACTTATCGAGATCGATTGTCATTTTGTTCGAGAGAGGATCAAGAATGGACAGTTGGCACTACAATACATCTCTACCAGTTTGCAGGTGGCTGACCTCATGACCAAAGTCTTGGGTTCATCCCAACACCATTTCCTCTTGTCCAAGCTTGGTGTGTTCAATGTGTTTCACCCCCAACTTGAAGGGGAGTATTGTTGTATATACTAGACTGAGATGCACTTGTAACTAGTTGAGAGATTACAATGTAAATAGGAATGAGGAATTAGTTAGAGTCGGTGAAGTGGTCTATAAAAGGGGACCACTCACGTGTAATATAGACACAAGAAAATAACTTCAGCGTTTCTTCTTCATCTTATTTCAACATCTTTCTACTTCTCATCTCCTTCTTCTTCGATACTGTTTGCTTACATGCGTATTGTTTCTGATGAATTGAGCAGAATTTATCAGTTCACCAGAAAATCGTGGCCATATTGGGAAGAAAAATCACTTCCAATTCATATAATTTTGTTTTTTCTTATGAGTTTTCAAGGTTGATTTACAATTATTGTTCTTTTTGCAATGGTAATTTGTCATGATCCATATCTATTGCGAAACAGAAATTTTATGACGAGGTTGAATATTCTATTGAATTTGTATTAATAGATGCACATGCTTGATCATGTTGTATTTCACCAAATTATATGGTACAACGTTTGACATCAACGAGGAGATAAAGATTTTATTAACAAACTCACTAACTGTGAGAGCAAGAAGGGAACGAGTAGTTCCTTCTTTAATCTATTATTTCCGAATCGATGCTTTCTTCTTGGAATATGAAAGGTATGCAGTTGGCAAAGAAAGCAGAGAATCCAATAATTCTCTTTGAGAAAATTCCAACAATAAGACAATGTCAACTATGAGGTGACGATTCAAACAGAAAGTGAAACAATCGGGTTATAATTTCTTCACTTGATCATTTTTAATTGATTTTCTATCTTATGTGATTTATGAAATAGTTCTACAAATGTTAGAATAGATGTTTATTACATGGTAGTCTCATAATATATTTTCTAATAGTATGCCATAAAATTAATTGGTACATAACTTTTGTAGCATGCTTGAAATTATATGAAAAAATATTTTCAAGGTTTTGCAAGATGTGAATTAGGCTTATACTAACTCTTGAAAATATTTTGAGATCATGAACATAATATATATATAAAGGTATACAAATATTTGTTTGATTAGCATAAGAGATCAAACTGTTTAAATATTACTCCTATAATTGTTTAGTTGGAAAGCCATTTGAAAAGAAAATTGCATATCTTGTGATTTTCTACCCCTAATTTGGAGCGTAAAGTCTTTGTGACTTTCTACTCAATTGTTAGAGATTAAAGTCTTCGTGACTTTCTAATCTGGTTGGAAATTAAAGTCTAAGTGATTTTCTACTCGTTTTGGAGATTAAACTCTTAGTGATTTCTACTCCAATTTATTATTCGGTTTGAAGATTAAAAACTTCACCGTTTATTAATTTTTGTTTTGTCAGATATTACTCAGTTTGAAGATTAAAAACTTCGCCATTTATTAATTTTGGTTGCGTCATGGCACAAATAACAGTTCCTATGATTGGATCTACAAAGTAATATGGGTGGTGAATATAAATCTTCTTTTGAAGAAATATGTTTGGAATATGACATCATTCACCCAACAACTGCTCCTTACTCACTGTAATCTAATGAAATTGCGGAAAGAAAGAATAGAACATTAAAGGAGATGATGAATGCCTTGTTAATAAGTTTTGATTTACCTCAGAACTTGTAAGGGGAAACTATTCTTACAGATAACCGAATACTTAATCGAGTTCCCCATAGCAAAACACAATCTACTCCATACGAAAAATGGAAAGGAAGGAAATCCAACTTAAAATATTTTAAGTTAGGGGATGTTTGGCTAAAGTGCAAGTCCCTAAACCCAAAAGAGTAAAGATTGGACTAAAAATCATTGATTGCGTTTTCATAGGATATGCAACAAAAAGTAAGGCATATCGTTTTCTGGTTCATAAATCAGAAATTCCGACATTCATATTAATACAGTAACTGAATCAGATAATGCTAAATTCTTTGAGAATATTTATCTTTATAAAAAGGAATGTGAGTCATTTAGCGAAAAATTCAAGCGACCTTGGGAAGAATCAAAGGAAAGTACACCTAGTGAGGTGAATCCATGACGTAGTAAACGTCAAAGAATAACTATTTCATTTGGATCATATTTTCTGACATTCCTGTTGAAAAATTAGCCTCAAACTTTTAAAGAAGTTATGTCTTCCTCAGAAGGTCAATTTTTGAAACAGACAGTCAATAGCGAGATAAAATCCATATTTAACAATCATACTTGAGAGTTATTTGATCTTCCTCAAGGAAATAAACCATTGGGTTACAAATGGATTTTCAAGAGAAAAATAAAAAATGATGGCACTATTGACAAGTATAAAGCAAAACTGGTTATCAAAGTGTTAGACAACGAGAAGACCTTGTCTATTTTGATACATACTTGATATTTACGAGAATTATATCCATAAGGATGTTAGTAGCATTGGCTACAGTGTATGGTATTGAAATCCATCAAATGAATGTAAAAACATTCTTCTTAAATGAAGATTTGGAGGAAGAAATTTATATAGAACAACCTAAAGGGTTTGTGATTCCTGGAAAATAAAAGAAGGTGTGCAAATTTGTTACATATCTTTTTGGACTAAAACAACCATCCAAATAAGAGCATGCAAAATTTGATCACACAACAGTATCAAATAGTTTTAAGATTAATGAATAATAGAAAAAGGCACGTGAAATATTTGAAGCGTGGCGGCCTTAGCTTTTGCATGATAAAAGCCAATGTTAGATGCAATGTCTATATTATCTAGAAGAGCTATATGATATGATTTTTGAACCTCACGAATCCTTAAGGAATATTGATATAGTAGTCAGTGATTCATTACTTATTCAGTCTTAGTGATGATTAGTGATGAAACTACAAAATCGAATGTTGTTTACGTGTCATTTTATAAATGATTTGTTCTTTCTTGAACATTTATAATGTTTAGATCTTTTATAAAAGGGTGTCACCTGGAAGGCTGTGACTTTTCATGAAAATTGTGTTTGTATGTTTTGTATAAACATGACCGTTAATGAACAAATGTATTAATACGTTGGTCTATAATGAGGTGAATCAACCTATGGACATGACCAAAATTCATTGCAAGTTGGATTTATTTGATGAATGAAGGTGCTATAATTTACATATCATATATACGTATGAATAAATAACATACAAATGCTTGTAAATGGCGAAGTGGTTGCCAGATATGTTATATAATAAAGGTTGTGGCCACAACTGATGCCAATCATTCCAGATGTTGTTATAATATACTATTGTTACTGTAGACACAGGATTTTTGACCCTCCCCGAGAATTTTCACATTTTTAGCGTGAATATGTAAAATTGGGTCTAATATAGCCATTTTAACTATTTTACTTTATTTTGTTGCAAAAAAGAAAAAATCACAAAAATACATATATAAATTTTAGTTTATGTATTTCTCATAAACTTGAAAAAATATAAAAATTGTACTTTATTTTGGTACTTTATATAAATTCGAAAATTACAAAAAATAATTCTATTAATGTTTTGTAGTCATTTTAATTTTGGAAAAATACAAAAAATATTACTTTATATTTTGTCTTTATTAAAAAACGAAAATTACAAAAAAAAATAGTTTTATTAATATTTGTAGCTATTTTAAATCTTGAAAAATATTTTTTAAAAAAAGATAGAGTTTTGTTTAAACATTAGTCTTATTTTTGGTAGTTATTTTGCTTGCATAGGACTAGTTAAGCAACGGCGTGTTCTTAATCGGGTCCGGACAAAAGAATAATATTCGGGTTCAAATTACCCGCTTTTAGGCCTAA